GAGCCGAAGGAAGCGGAGAGGACCACCGCAGCCAGCATTTTTATTTAGCTGGATGATGATAGGAGGTCTAAACTCACTAACTCGTTACCGGAAACATATTGTACTGCCGTGAATGCAATTTTGGTCTCGGCGGGACGCGCCCCCGGGGCGGGGGGCTGGTCCTTTTTTTTGTTTCCGTATTCTTCCTCCAAAAGGAGCGGTTTCACGGCACGAATTCCAAGCCTCTACATCGCTGACCAAAAGCCGGAGAAATTCAATGGAGTCCTCAAACTCCTGCCCCTAACCGCCCATTCATGCCAGTTATGGCGGACGCGAGAGGAGCTAGGGGTTGCCATTATTTTCGGTAGTATCTTAGAATCCGCTACATCAAAGATGAGATGCTGGAGCCCGTCCCCTCCAAATACTTGCCAAGTATGTCAGTGACTAAGGCATCGTCCAATTCATCGAGCTCAATTTCACCTGTCATGTCCTTGTCGTAATTTGAAAATGTAGTATCAATCAACGTTCGTAGCAACTTGTTTCCACCGTCCTCGTCATCAGATGTGGGTAGAGGAAACTCACTTGCAACAGCGGTGATTGCCACGAATCTCGTCAATTCCAGCTTGTCAACACCGCCAGACCTGGGAGTTAGCGATGCGACGATTTAGCGGTCGACACGTACCGATTGTCGTCCAACTGCGTCCAAAAAGTATGCAAACTCAAATCAAAATCTTGGCCCCGTGCCATCGCGCAAGCTGCGAAGATGGTTGCCAGCAGGATCATGAAGGGAATGTTCTATACGGAGTATCGTTCTCTCGGGCGCCTATATTCGCGAAGGGAGCGTTAGCCGATCCATTGGGTCATTTAGCGTTGAATCGCTGTCCGAAGGCTAGCCCCACTAGGGTAACACCCTGTGTGCCACCTACTATGGGTTGTTCCACCGTGCTAACACTGCCCCCCGTGTAACGGGGCTACCTGCAGTTCGTCGGACTCTGAGCCTCCCGGGACACCCCGCCCCGAGGCCGCGACCGCGCGTCGCGCGCCGGCGAGGCCGCGGCGGCTAGCACACCGCAGCCCTCGGGCAGCGCGGCGCGGCGCGCCCTGACGCGGCGCGACCGGCGGCCCCAGAGGCGCCACCGCTACCCCAGATGGCAGCCCCAGAGGCGCCGAAGACCAATCTAGCGACGCTGTTCGGCAATGCATAGAGTCGACTCCAGGCGCTGTCAAGGTTTCTTCAACGAATGGCCCCGAGCGTATGGCTGCAAAGCCCTGCTTCTCACGATTCCGCAAATCCAAAAATCTCGCGAATCGATGAGGTTTGAGCTGAGTTATGAGCATCTGAATGGCTGCCGCAGTGGGCCGAAATGTATGTCAGAAGCTGCTCCGGTGCGAGGGTTAGTCCTGGCTCCGGCCACGCGGACTTCGCGGGAGACTGCCTGATACTTCGCGGGAGACTGCCTGATACTTCGCGGGAGACTGCCTGATACTTTGCGGGAGACTGCCTGATACTTTGCGGAGACTGCCTGATACTTCGCAGGAGACCGCCTGATACTTCGCGGGATGTTTCCGTTTCTACGCGGCCGCGGAGCGACGCGCGGCCGCCGCGCGGAACGCGATCATCGAGTGGTCGGTTTGGACGTCGGATGGGAACCCATCCGACGCGTCGGACTTGTCTTAGAACGCGTCACTACGGGTCGTTTCTACGGAGACGATTTTACTGGGGGAGCCTCCTCAGAGCCGGAGCCTCTTGGGCGCGGCGGACAGACGCTCTTCGACGCGGCCTTCTGTTGCGGGCCGCGGAGCTCCCGGAGGCGCTGGAAATGACGCCCCCACACCCACCTTGCACGGCAAGCCACGCAGCGTCCGCGTTCGCGCGATCTCGTCGAACGTCGTGGCGAAT